TGTAATAAAATCCTTTTATCTGTAATTAGATGTTTAAATTCCTAATGGTGCTTCTTAGTAAAGATTTCAGAAGAAAAAGAATGCATTGTACTACTCAATATCTTAAAACGTTCTTGGAATAATTTAGAATAGAGAACGTTATTTCTTAAAGCCACATTTTAAGGTTATAGCAGCAATCAAAAAACCATCTCAGGAATAATCTGATGGTCATTGCAAATCCTCTGGCAGAGTGAATCACTGCTATAGTAAACACAATCTTGCGGTATAATTGATTAGAGAAATTGAATTAATTAAGAAAGCTGCAGGAGTTAGGTCTTTATTATGCAACATACTTTTCTTTTTCATGTTTTCTGTCACTTCTTAGACATCCTTTATAAACTGATAGAGCTATTTGAGATTAAAACATGAAAATCTCCTTTGGGGACCAATATCATGATGACATTAATGTGTTAAACTGACTTCAGCCAGGATAAATTTTAGCCTCAGCAAAATGAGGATATTTATATCTAAATGATATCAGTAGCTGCAGGAGAAGGAGAAACATCTATAAAATATTCTATCATGTGCTGTGAATTTGAATATTTAATAAGACAAGGCATAGATACAGAAAACATCACATTTAGGTTTAACACTCTACAAAAGTGATAAGGAATTATAAATTTATTAAGTCATCTGGAGACCAGATGGGTTGAGCCCCAAATTGGCACCAACACCCAGGGGTGGGGAGTCAGAGCTTTTAAAAGACTCTAGGCAGGCTTTTTTGGCTGGGAATTCTCTGAGTGGGTCTGGGCAGGCTGGCCGGCCCCCACCGTGCACTGGGCCTCTATCCTATATAAAGGGTAATATGCAAATTGACCCTAACAGCAGATCCTGGGAAAGTCCGGAGGGGAAAGATAATGGTCATAACAAGAGGAATCTGATCTTAGCAAGTAGAATGTGGTCTAAGCAAAGGGGAATGTCAATTGTGAAGTGTTCTAAAGGTCTGTTCCCAGGGGAGAGGGTACCAATTCAATTATTTGATCAGACCTAACAATTTATGCATGATATTTTGACATTATATTTTTTGCAATCATTATAGCTTTCTATAAAATCATTAGTAATACAACTAAATAATACTTAGTACATGTTCAACACTTACTATTTATTAATCACGGTGCTAAGCCCTTTACATACATTATCTCAATTATCAAGGCAGGCCTGTAACAATATTTATTATCCCCCCCCTTTTTTTTACATTAAGAAATGAAGGCGTAGAGAGTTAAAAGTACTTGCAAATCATCTGTCTGGTCTACTTACTCTGATAAACTCAGCATTAAAACAGTCTATGTCCACTGGTCTATGTATCCACAATTTCAGCTTTGTGCTTGTCATTGTGTCAGCTCATTCAAACAATTAAAAATTAACATGTGCAATTGATAATAACATGTGATTACATCACTGTGTTTGGCACTGGGGAAATAAAGATTAATGAGACTTAATTACTATCTTTAATTAATTCTCAGACTGGCATAAACACACTTGTAAGCAAGTTATTATATTAGACTGTAGTGATCATAGAGGCATAGTTAAAGTGTTATATAAGCAACAAATGAACAGTATGCAACTTTCTCAGGCACAGCAGGCTTTGATAGACAAATTGTTTATGGTGAATAATTTAATATCCAGTCAATGCCCACAAACACATTAACCTGCATGGACATGTAAAAGGGGACACTGATGGTTCCTTGCCAGATCCACTTTGGCCAAGGTATCCATCCCTAGTTCCTGCACATATTGGCTAACAGCAACACAATGCTGCCCTTTTCTCCAGGGAATTGCCCCTGTGCCTTGCCAAATGTTTTCCCCTGGAAACTATACCCACCCTGACATCACATGGCTTAGTGACACATAGGATATACATTGCCTGGCCTTGCTTCAAGGGGGAGTAAATCTGTGGTACAAATTGTGCTCCATAGTTTTCAGATGGCTTAAGCTAATTAGGTCCTAGTTAAGAACTCGTTCTTGCTTAGCGTTTTTTCCCCTGCTCTATCCTGTTTCATTCTCTCCCCTTCTTCTGAAAGTGTCCCTCTAAATCAGTGATGGCGAACCTTTTGAGCTCGGAATGTCAGCATTTTGAAAAACCCTAACTTAACTCTGGTGCCGTGTCACATATAGAAATTTTTTGATATTTGCAACCATAGTAAAACAAAGATGTATATTTTTGATATTTATTTTATATATTTAAATGTCATATGACAAAGAAAAATCAACCAAAAAAAATGAGTTCGCGTGTCACCTCTGACATGCGTGTCATAGGTTCACCATCACTGCAAATCATTTGGACTTTCATTTCAGTCTCTGCTTCTATATAACCCAACCAAAGCCATACCCAAACAGTACGGAGAGTTTGGATTTCAGGGTATGTTCAGGATAGTAGCAGAAGATGAAAAGGTGAGATAGTTGAATAAAAGAGGAAGGCAAGTAACAAGTACAAACTTACTTATAGGACGTGTGTGTGTGTGTGTGTGTGTGTGTGTGTGTGTGTGTGTGTGTTGTGTGTGTGATCCATAAGATTCTTGAAAGTAAGAATCTTATCTTCTTCAACCTTATAACTCTTCCTGTTATATCCCTTCAGGTTAAATTGGTCCCACATGGATCATGTGTATCACACCTGGAGCCATGTACTTTACGTAGTGGAGATTATAAGAATTTTTGAATAAATGAACAAAAATGTGGGATTCTAAATGTGACAATGATCTTGTCAAATTTTACTTATCAACCCTGTGTTTGACAAAATATTTTATGTAAACATTCTTTATCAATTTCCCCTGATAGTTCGAACACATTCAAGGATAAGTGTCATAACAAACAATTATGCTATTTGGACGTGCTATTATTTGAATAGAACGTGGCAAGTATAATAGTGCATTTGTCACAAAAAGGGGAATTATCATATATAATGGGAACCTAAGAATTGTAATTTTATCAGTTCTGTCTTAATTCGGGTGTCAAACACTGTCATCAGAAACAGTCCTTTCTCTTTATCTCGTGCTTCTATTCATGTTAGCTTTCTCCAGCATCAAATAAAGTGTTGCCATGTCTTAATTTTAAAACCTCCTAAGCATCAAGCTAACAAAGCAAGAAAGTTTCTATTTTAGAATATTTTCATATAATTTTCATGATTTACTTTGCTTAAAACTTGAATGGCTAGTCCTGAAATAACCATGGTGACCAGGACGTAGTTCTACACAAATTTACTAAGATTGTGTCATCTGGTGTTCCACTAATAAAACAACAACACTGTGGAAAGAGGATTAGTTCTTGGCTTGGCTAAATGTGGGTCACAATTAGCTGGTACCAGGGACAGAAACCCTTCTCGTTCATACAGACTATGAGAGCAGGAAGACAGGAGACGCTTCCAAAAAGGAATTAAGGATGATAGGTGGGACCAAATCAAAATATGCTGTCATGGAAATGGTATTTATAGTGAATAATTTAATACCCAGTCAATGCATAAAAAGTACACCTAGAAATAATGCTAAATTACAGAAAAGACTTAAATTAATAGTTAACAATAAAAGCATACTTTAAAAATTTATATAAGCAAATGAAGATTTTTAAAAATATTTAATGGAGAACTCCCTAACAAAACTTAAATAATGAGAATGATAAAATAGCTCTAACATTGAAATTATGTAAAGGTATAAAATATCTTCTATGGTAAGTCAGTTTTGAATTAATTTATGGGTTTGTTGTATATAATCATGACAGTAATTTATGCTTTGGTATTAACTTTTTGTAATTAATAAAAGTTGCAGGAAAAAATTTGCAAAATAAAATACTGTTTAATGGATTTCTAACCAATACTATCCTAACCAATACCAGCTCAAGGAATAACACTTTGCCAATCACCCCTGAAGAGCATCCCTATATCTTATCTTGTCCCAATATCATATCCTTCCCTTTCTATATAACTAATCAGCACCCTCTCCTTTTTAGTCATCCTTTGATTTTTAAATATTTTTCTTACAACCTATTTATTGATAACCATTTATCTGTGTACATTATCTTTGACAGTCAATTTAGTTAAATATAAACTCCTTGGCCTATATTATTTTCTTTGATTTTCGCAAATATCTTACTTAGTCTTCTCCTGCTTTATATATTCAAAAGCATTACATTGAAATGTTTTTGATCATCTAGTTTCTTTCCATTTCATGTTACATATATAAGTTTTTTTCTTGAATTGTAATTTTTAGTATGTATTTTTGTTTCCCTTGCTTTGGTTTTCATCTTTAAGAACTCCTATTACTTATGTATAGGACCATCTTTGGATTTACTAAATATTTGTTGCTTTTCTTTTACTTGTTTTTTAAATTTATTTTTCTTTTTTAAATATATATCTTCAAAAATAGTTACAGAGTAACACAAAAGTTGCAAAGGTGATACAAAAAAGCTTCTATATATCCATTCCTCCAGTGTTCCCTAATATTAACAACTTTCATAATTATATTACATTTGTCAAAAATTTTAAATTAACATAAGTATAATAACTATATAATAAATAAATATAGTAACTATAAGATATCCTTATTCAAAGCACTAATGTTATTTTTTTTCTATGATTCAATCTAGGATTCTACATTTTATTTAACCCCATAGAGGTTTTTTAAGTAAACTTTTAATTTAGAACAGTTTTAGATTTACAGAAAAGTTGTAAGAGAGCACAGAGAGTTCCTATATATCTCATTCCCAATTTTTCATATATTAACAACTTACAGTAATATGGTATATTTGTCATAATTAATGAACACAATTTGATACACAGCATGGGGCAAAAGTAGGTTTACAGTTTGAGTATGTGAAACACAAAAGTTTATTCTTGTAATATTTCTTAATTATCATAGTACTTTCCATATAAACAACTGTAAACCTACCTTTGCCCCACCCTGTATTATTATTATTGGGGAAGGCAGTCTTCTCCATGCAGTTTTTCAACTTCTACTTTAACACAGAAGGATGGGCCTGAACCCAGGAACTTCCTTACTGAGAGATAAAGAGGAGCCCACATGGTCTTCGCTGGACTTACAACCTGGTATGAGAATATTTTTCTGCTTCAGGCACAATGAATACTCCTTTGTTCTGCTTAAGCAGAAATGTCAATGGGCCTCAGACATGCCCCCAGCTTTCTCTATTTCAGACTCCACAGGGATGCGATGGAGTCCTTCAATGGCAGCAAGAGAGGGTTGCAAATAGGCCAATTGTCCTGGGCCACTGAGAGAGATGTGCTAGGCATGGATGGGAAGCTATGCCCTGTGAAAACTGATCTTGCTCTGTCTCTTCTATATGTCAGTAAAGTGTTGTTCCACCCAGTGCTTTATTAGGCTGTGTTTTTCTTGGTGACTCTGAGACCCAGGTATAATGAGTAGACATGTTTGGACTTCATTTCCTGGTGGTTGGCAGTGTGATAATCTTGGCTATTCTCCATGTGGAGACCTCTCTTAGAATAAAAAACTGATGCACAGTATTTACTTGACAATTATTAACTAAGCTCTATTTTATAAATGTTTTTCAAATATTTTATAATGTGTTTTTGCTGTGCCTGATTCCTGAATGTACCAAATTACATTTACTAGTAGGCAACATGTCGTCTTAGACTGCTCTTAGCTGAGACAGTTTCTGAAGCTTCCTTTGTTTTTGATGACTTTGACAACTTGATGAGTACTGGACAGGTATTTTGTAGATTGCAACTGAAATGGGATTAGTTTAATGCTTTCCTCATGATTAAACCAGGGTTATGGGTTATTGGGAGGAAGACCAAAGAGGTAAAGTGCCTTTCTCATTGCATTATGCCAAGGGTACACACAATCAACACGGCTTATTGCTGTCAATGTTAATCTTGATTACCTGACTGAATGCATTTGGCTTTTCCTCTCTGAAGTTACTCTTTTTTCTTTCTTTTCATAAAGTACATTTTGGAAAGAAATCACTACATGTGGCCAGCCTCAATGAGTGGGAAGCTAAAAGCCACATGCCATAATTTTTTGAAATTATTCTGCACAGGAGATTTGTATATTCTCTCATATTTGTTTATTTATGTATTCAATTATTTACATATATCTGTATAGATTTATGGATACTATTTATTTTATACCTTGGGTTGTAATCCAATTCCACTCTATTTTGTTGCTAACATTTCCCACCTTTAGCCATTTGCAGCTCTTTCACTGGTTTCTTTGTCCCGTTAATATTTTTTTGGTAATTTCTCACTTTCTGTCACTAAAAGGTACTCCAGACTTATACTATATATTCCATGCCTCCGTCCTAGAATCAGTAATTTTTCTAGAAACATTGGTTTCTTTCCCTAGGAAATTATATTTGAAACAGAAATATATGCACTGGATGTACTTTGCTGCTAGGTTGATATTGCTTCTCTACTTCTTATACTAGAAAATATGTATATGTATACTAACCTGTGTATAGACACATATCCATAAACATTTTATAATGTCCATCTGCATGTATAGTAACACAAGTTTATACTGATATCTCCAGCACTAATCTATTACCACTTGATCATTCAAGCTTATCTGTAATCTCTCACTCCAACAATGAGAAACCTAGCTCTAGTTAATCGTATTTATCTTTCATATATTTTGGTTATAAGAATATGCATTGTTCATTACTTCATTATATTACAGATGTGTAGATATGTTATTCACCTTTTATGTATTGATTGAACAGTTTTAGTTCCCTGACTTAATTTACTTGTGTAGACTCTGTGATACTTTTTTTAAAAAGATAGAAGCTATCTAATTGATATTTACTAGATTTTCATTAAGTGAGATAGTAACCCATTTTAATAGAATGTATGGCCAAAAAAATTTATAAAAATATGCTTAATTTAAAGTTGAATTATCAGGTAATGATATTCATAAATTCTCTACAAATGAGCTAAATTTATATAATACAAATATGAACATTTTATGCCTTGAAAAGATAACTAGGGATTTTTGATAACTATAATTTACTGAAGCCTAAAAGCTTAAAGTGAAATACAATTGTAATATCTTATTAACTATGCAAATATATCTTAAATAGTACCATACTTTAATATCACCTGAATTTTTTTGTGGATTGACAAAGTTTGGCATTATTTGATATAATAAAATAATATACCAAAAATTATTTTCTTGTGACTCTTCCAAGATTCACTGCTGATTATCTGCTTATACTACAGTTGATGTAAATGTTATATCATTGCCTTTCAGGCGATTTGAGTCTGTAGGTAGCTGGAATCTCTCTAAATAATTTTGATAAAAAGCAGATTTCAGAAAGTTATTTTTCCTTCCTAATTTATTTCAGCAGATGCTTCTGAAATAAATATACTCTTTGGAGATAATTAATCATAGTGAGCTTTTAAGACATAATTATTTGAAGGTATATAACATGTTATTTAAATTCTTACTTAGATTGTTACTTAGATCATTTAAAACGGTATTCTTAGATTAGATTTTATTATGATTTTGCATATAAACCTCTAAGATCTACTACACAAAGAACATGCACTGAATTTAAATAGTCTAAAAAATGAATTTGAGAAAATGGTTAGCAATACTAAATAGGCATTTTTTTTAGTCTACAGTGTTTAAATAATTTTTTTTACCATCAAATGTATGTAGTTGTTTACTTAATTTACTTTTTTTACTTATGATATTTAAAGGATATCTTCTTATCAGAGCAGAATATTATGAGCTAATAAATGCAGAAGGAAAAATCAAGTCAGCAAAATCACCATATTACAAACACTAATGAAATAGTTAAGGAGAATAATATGCATGTGTGCTAAAAATTTAGTACAAATATTAGTGATAAAAATCACTCTTCATATTATGTTAAAGTTCATCCAAAGATTATTTGCTGGTCATGGGGACAAAGCAACTTCCAAGTTGCTAAAAACTAGATTACAAAGCAGTAATCCAGTTTTTACAAAGCAATAATCCAGTTTTTAGCAACTGAAACCATGAACAACATTAACTTTCTGAATCATGGTACAACCAGACATGTTATACCTTCTGATTGATGTAATATGAAGTACATCTGATATGAAGATTTTTTAAACAAAGAAAAGAATAAGTATTTAGTGCTAATTTTCAGCTTATAAAACAGGTAAGGGGAGAGGAACATGCTATACAACAACATGGGACACAAGGTAATTCAGAAAGCAGGACATTCTACAAGACAACAGGATGCAGACTTTCAGCAAGTCAATGATAGGGGAAAATGGGTAGAGGTAATACTTCAAATTAAAATAAATTTAAGATATATAACTTCTAAATGTCGTGTGTATACCTTGGTTAGAATATATATAAAAAAATACATTGTGTGTGGAGGAAAATCAGGAAAAAATTGAATATGAGCTGGATAATAGATGAGATGATTAAACTATTACTGTTTAGTTAGAGTTAATAATGATATTTTGATTATGTAAAATAACTTCTATATTTTAGAGAGACATAATGGAGTATTGAAGGGTAAAGTATTGTGATAGTAGAGACATGTTTTATACAACTTCACCAAAGAAAAGAAAAAAAATAGATTAAGCAAATATGGCAAAATGTTAAATTATTATATGGAGGGAATAGATATATTAGGATTAATTATCATATTCTCTGTAATTTATATATGTTCATTTAAAAATAAAATGTAAAAAAGAAAACAAAATAAAAAAATCAACATTATTTTCCTGCAACTGGATTTGATGAAGCTTATTTTACTCACACTTTAATCAATTTTACTCTGAGGCTGATTTTAAAAACAACAATAACAAAGCATATAAACTTAATGGCAAAGAAAAAAGTTTATCTTTTTCTAATTAGATGTTTTCAGTAAAATCAGAACCAAAGAATATAATTATGTGCATGCCCTCTAAAGAAACTAGACTTCCATTGGTACAAAGAGCAGAGTTTAAGCTATTGAACTAGCTAATAGATACATTGAAAACAAAATAGAATAAATTTGTGATTTAATTTTCACATTTGAAAAACTGGAATATTGCTATGTATGCCTTACTTGTTGATTGTAAAGAATAAATAAAATTGACAAATGTAAAGTGCATATAACAATGCTTGATACAGAATGAACTATAAACAGGATATTAGCTGGCATTACTTTATCCATATTCATTATCCACATGGACAGTGTTATATAAGAAGTGGAGAAGCAGAAATAATTCACAGTTCCAGATAGGAATTAGCTAAAATGTTCTTTTGCAAACTGGAAAAAAAAAAGAGGGAGTCCATGAACCAAGCAATGAAGCGGAAGTCTTCTTGGTTGTCTAGTCAAACAACTGCTAGATAAGAATGATCAGAGAATAAATACTAGTAGGTATATAAATAACTGTGCTACTAGTCAATGATCACATATTTTGATTTTCCAGAATTTTCTTGACTTTCTGGAAATCTTGTTTGGTTATTAACATACTAGAAAAATACTAAAATGTGGTTTTCAAATGATATTAAATTTTTCTAAATATTTAAAGAAAATAATTTTAGCTTTAATTAATATTTGTGTTAAATTATTTCCTTTTAGTTTTCATTTTTGTATCTATTTTTATTATCAATTTTCTAAATATAAGATTATCTGAAACCCACATAAAATTTTATATCTATAAAATATGTATTGTGGTACTTTTATTTTTCCAATAGTTTTCCAAACAATCTTGCAGTCCCAGTATCTCTATTCTGTATTTACAATCTTGGCAGATTAATATAATAAAAGCCTAATATTCAAATTGACTGAATGGCGGAATGACCTGCTGAATGACCGTGCACTGACCACCAGGGGGCAGACATTCAACACAGGAACTGCCCCCAACCGGTGGGGGGCGAGGTCGGCAAGTGGGTGGTGCCAGGCCACCAGCCAAGGCATGTGCCAGTGGGGGCCCCCTGATCACTGGCCAGGCCTAGGGATCCTACCATATATATTGGGAACAATCTCTTAGATTTAAAAATTAAAACCTGGCAAGGCTACTCTCCCACTGAAAAAACAGGATGATGCAGCAATGACATGCATGGACTCTGGCTTGCACATTTTGAGGTCAGCCCTGACTCTGACATTTATAACTATGTGACAAAGCCAATTACTTAACTTCTCTCTGCTTCAGTTTTTTCACCCATAAGATGGGGAAAATGGTGCTACTGCCTCAGAAGGATCATGTTATGTACTACTTTTTATAATCAGGGCAAAAAATGTAGCTGTCCATACAACAGAAAGATGCCTTTCACCTGTGTGAAAAATATGGTCACTGGTGCATGCAGCATCCCAGATTGCAAGAGGGATGTCTGACTGCTGGTTTAGGCCGGACATCCTCCAAGGGATCCTGGATTGCGAGAGGACATAGGCCATGCTGAGGGACCCCCACCCATGCACAAATTTTGTGCACCGGGCCTCTAGTCCTATATAATAAGATAGATATGTATGTAGATATAGATATAGATACAGATAGATGTAGATAAAGATAGAGATATATCTATCCTGTATGTAATATATCTATGAAAAATCTGATGGTTATCATATTGCAAACAAAATAATTTCCTATTTTGACAGTGGAGGCATGGTCCAAAATGACTTCTATGTACACTTTAACGTTTTCCAACTACTTTTTACAAAAGGAGTCTGTTGAACCAAATTAATCTTACCTTTTCTCTTCCAAAAATGTTAGTTTTTTTCTCTGCATTGATATTCTTCCCATTTGGCCCAATGTGTGCATTATTTCAAGTCAATTTCTTGCATATACTAGAGAACCAATTTACATCAATCATAGTCTACCAAGATTGCTCATTCACATGATACACTATATCAGTGATTTTCAAGATTTCTCAACCAGTGTGCTACCTCACACTAGTGTGCCACAAGAATTTTTCAACATGCAATACCTGATTACATAGTCAGGGGCACTTACCTCTTTTCTCTTAGGTTGTCAAATAAAAAAATGACAACAGCAACACAATAGCCGTCATGTGAACGAATCAAAATTATACCAATTTTTTATGTCAGATTGGCAAAACATGTACTACTAGAGGCCCGGTACATGAAATTCGTGCATGAGAGGGGGGTTGTCCCTCAACCCGGCCTGCACCCTCTCCAATCTGGGACCCCTTGGGGGATGTCCAACTGCCAATTTAGGCCAGATCCCACAGGCAATCAGACATCTCTATCTCAATCCAGGACCACTGGCTCCTAACCACTCACCTGCCTGCCTGCCTAATGCTCACAACTGCCCTCCCCTGCTGGCCTGGTCACACCCCCAACTGCCCTCCCCTGCCAGCCTGATCACCCCCAACTTCCCCCTGCAAGTTCACCCCTAACCCCTTGCCAGCCTGATCTCGCCCCTAACCCTCTGCCTGCCTGATCTTGCCCCTAACTGCTCTCCCCTGCCAGCCTGATGTCACCCCTAACTGCCTCTGCCTCAGCCCCCACCACCATGGCTTTGTCCAGAAGGAAGTCAGATGTCCGGAAGATGTCTGGTTGACCTGGTCCAATTAACATATCACCCTTTTATTAATGTAGATACTTTTGGTGTGCCACAGAATTTTTGTAATTAGTTTACGTGTGCCATGAGATTAAAAGAAGGTTGAATGTTGCTGCCCTATATAGTAGCACTTCCTGAACAGGTATAATTTTAAGCTTATCCAAGTGTTAGAGGATGGATGTTAATTTTTCCTTTTCACATTTCTACAGGAGAGGCTTCAGATGTCTACACTCTTCTCATCGAGAGTATCAACAGGGTAACCATGTTTTCCCTTTGCTTCCTCCACTTTCACTTCCCCTAGGTAAGAGGAACATACAACTTAATTAATGACAGTTTACCACTTTAGGTAATATTTCCCACAGTGTGTTTTTTCTGCTTCCTTTAAAGTTTTATGCAGGAAGTGCTTTGGTCCTACCAACCCTCCCTCCTGGGAGATTCTTCTTGAGATACTTCGGGGGATCCACCATTATCTTACTCATCCATCTACAATTAGGCATGTATTTGATTTTGAAGCAGAAAGTAATAGCCCTAACTTCATTCCCTAAATCTGTTCTTACTAGATGCTACTGATTAAACAGATATGTTCATACCAGTTTGGCTTTTACTAGTAAATGTCCTCTCTCAATCAGAACCTAGAGGGTGAAAACTGTGTTTAGCAGGTTTATGTTTTATGGATTTGCACCTTCTACAGTACATTTTAATCACATTTGTCTCCTTTGGCTCAATACTTACCATGTAGTAGTTTAGATAAGCCTGAGGTGTTGGTACAAATAGATTCTGTTTTTTCATCATAGGAATCCTGGAACTCTGTATGCATTTAAATGTTTAATCCATTATGCAGTGATGGGATATTTTTATTATTGTACAGGTTTTGGGGGTCAGTCTTCTCTGGTTTATTTCTGACCCTATTTCTTAATATATATAAATTTACTTTGTTTATTTACCTTGCAGAAATTTTTGTAAGGAGTAAATAAAATAATGCATGTAATGTTTTTAAGTATTATATTAGGTGCAGAGTAATTGGTGTATAGTTTGAGGATTGCCACCTCTTTGCTCAATAATTAATTCACTTCAGTCATCCCTCTAAATTTTCTCTCAACTCTTTGGTACAAGTTCTGTAATTATTGTCATTTTATAGGTGATAAATTTGAGAAAAAGAAAAATGAAGTAATTTTCTTAAACCCTACACCTGGAAAGTCACTTCCGGAGCCCCTTAGTCATTGCCCTGTACAATGCTTCATAGATATTCACTATTTTATATTTTACTTTGGTTTAGGTTCTGAAAGGTGAACATGGTGGATGGTTAGCATAGTGGTTGCCGCAGGTAGGCTAAATAACCATCTCAGATGGTAGTTTAATTGAATTTATTTAAGGGAAGACGTTAGGAGATGGGATACTCAAAGGGAAGGGCTACACAGCACCAAGCCAAAGGGACAGTGGGTCGATGATGGCAGCACTCGGGATCTGGAGTTTCATCCTGATATGCAGTCAGTCACTGGCAGGAAACTTGTCCTCAGTGGGTTTGGGGCTGAGTCACGGGGCTTGGAATGTGGATGGGATGCAGATGTGCGGTCAGTTGCCTTCAGGACAGTTTCAATTCCTTGTATGGTCTGACTCTTGCTATCCAACAAGCTTTTTCTTCCTGGTCTTCTGTTCTTCTGTGATGGGAAGCTTACAAATGGCCATTAAAGATTATGTTGCTCTAGAGAGCTAACAGGTTCTGTGCTTCATTCTGATGAGACAAAGATGAGTTAAAATAATTGCTGATATTCCAGTAGCGAAAAAGGAGTTATAGAAAAGATTAACATTTTACATCATTTTTGCATCCATTCTTGGTAATTAAATTTGATATTGGCAGGAAACACACTATTCCACAAAAATACATTATATTCCAAATTTATTCACATGCAATTCTAAGTAATCATATCATATTACAGTTTTGAGTTAAATTACAGGCAGGAGGTATTGTGTTGATTTCATTGTCAAACTAGATGCATATCTTTATCACTAGGAAGTGAGGTTTTAGTTAATTTGAATTATGTCTCCAGAGATAATATTAAACAAGTCACAACTTAGGAAGTCAAGAAAAGGGAATTGCTGTTGAGAGAATTTTTAAATGCATGCTCACATAGCTTCATAACACTATAAAACTGACCAAACTCCTTAACTTGCATGCTATTTCTTATTCTCAGAAAACTTTTTAGAGAGGAGTATTAAAGTGTGAAAGAATTAAATTCACTGAATTTACTTACTGATAGGTGTGAGGGTAGGTAACAGATAGAATGTAAAGGTAGTTCTTCTAATGGCTCTATTGACTGATAAAAGCCCAGTTAAGTTACTAAGAACACAATCAATTTTGCAAACCCAAGAATTAAGATAAAAGCTTCTAATCATAACTATATTTTAAGAATAGATTCAAAGGCTAATAAAGGTAAAACCATGGTGTTGATTCAGCCTATAGTTTGGTTCACTGTATTTTAAAGATTCTTCAAGTTTGTATATTGGCAGTAAGGAAAAGAAATCAAACATGTAGGTGTAGACTATTAAATCCAATGTTCTTGTGGGTTATTTACCAAAAAGGGGGAGAGGACAAGTAAAATATTTATTACTAAGTGAACAGTACCAAATGTTAAATGCAATATATTAAAGTAAGCATAAAATGACTATCTACATTATATGTAAATCAAAGGTATTTATTCTACTATCGAAAGGTGATTTAAAAAAGCTCTTAGTATATTTATCTCTGGAAGGTTTGTTGCAAAGTAGATATGTTACAATGTGAGCATTATTTGTAAAGCAATATTTAACTATGCACTATTCCTCTTTGGATTTTTTCACGAAACCAAATACTTTCTGTGATGAGACTATAAAAACCCACAGCTGAATTTTTAAATGGAGTAAGCAAGAAAACACTGTGTGTGTGTGTGTGTGTGTGTGTGTGTGTGTGTGTGTGTGTGTGTAGGTGGTTAATGGATTTAAAATGCAAGAAGGTAGTACATAGTATAATTTCATAGTATAATTTGTTAAGGGCAGATTTGACGTATTAGATACCAAACTTTCTTCACAGTATTTTCCCAAACATAGCTAACAACTTCCTCACCTTTCTTTTAAATTATTCAGTCCCCATTTTAATAGTTTCATACAACAAATGCAAGTGTATGCTTAAGAAATGTGTTACCTATACTTCCACAGAAGAAAATACTTAAACATATATTCATTAATAGATTTCAACACTAATGAACTGTATCTCCCTATTCAATGAAAGAACTGGATTTACCAAAGCTATTTAGATATGTACAGTGTTTCCTCATTTATAAGCACCTAAGCAGATGTGTGTTTCAACCATGATTTAAGGTTAGGTACAAGGGACGAAAAGGTCTGGAGCATGTAGTCATACAACTGACAATTCTGCAAATCTCCTTTTGTAATTAATATTTATTGATCTTCCTAGATTAAGAGTATTCTGTGTGCCACTGAGAACATAGCAATGGACAAAGCAGATAGTGTGCCTGCTGTCAAAGCTCATAGTGGCTCCCCTTTAAAAGTGTCGATGTCACATTGACTGACGTTATCTATGATTATCTGTATTCAGTAACCTCATTAAGGAAGTATCAGATTGGCATAAATTGAGAGAAAGGGAAAACTCTCAGCAGTAGCGATGGTTTTGTTTCTTTAGGGAAAAGCTTATGTAGCCTCGTAAGCCAGCAAGCTTAGAAATTCCAGACCTCTTGAAAGTGATATTTCTCAACCAAAAGAAATTAAGTATGCATTGTAGCAAAAGTCAATCAATGTCAATAAATCACTAATATAGTGTAAATAGGGAAACAGAACAATAACCTCATGATACAATATTGTAGATTTAGTAAAAATATAGTATATGCAGCAAAAGGTTTAAGGCAAAAGATAAATCAATTTTTTTTCTGAGCAACATTTCGTTTTTGATCAAAGATATCTAAATTTAAAATAAAGTGAGGATTTTCAAATGTTCACATACTAGCTTTAAGGTATTTCAGAAGAGATAAAGATTAATCAACATCAAAGTCATCGGTAAAGTTTGAAGGGATGGCTTTCAATGTATTTTTTAAAAATCAGAATTTTGTTACAATTTTTAGTTAGCAATGAAATACTAGCATATATATGTCGTTCTTATTCTGGGGCAAGATTAGCACACTTCAATGGCATAGCCTTTTTGTAGTTTCAACTGTTTCAGTGAGCTCTTAATGAGATTTCTAAACACTGGAAAGCTGAAACCTCCATGTCTCCCAGGACACTGTGAACTGTAGAATGTTCGCTTGGCTCACAGCCCTCCAGGCCTCACCTCATCTCACTCTGGGCATGCCGACTCTGCATTTGACCAAAGTCTTAAGAAGACTTTTATGCGGATTTCCAGCACTGTTCTTCTGTTTGCTCTCTTCTCTGTCAAACCCAAATTTTCAAATTTCAGTCATCTCCAAACTCCCAAATTTCAATGCAATGTTTCTTCTGCCAGTGAGTTTGCTGATCTCTGCTAGGATTTCTTCCTGGTGCTGTTGTATGAAACAGGGGCCCAGGCAGAAAGCCAGTGAAGCAAGATTTTTGGACTGGAGCACACGGTGTTTCATTGGGCAGGATGGTTCCCGGGCTCTTTGTCCCTGGGAGTTGAAGAATGAATCCATGGACGGAAGGTGGTATAGCAAAGATGGAAATTCTATTGAAGAACAAGTACAGACTCCCATGTGGGGAAGGGGAAAGAATCTCACAGCACAGACTCCCACATGGGGAGGGGGAAAGGGTCCCACCGAGTCCCTGTTTCCATGGTTTATAAAGGCTGTAGATCCCCGTGCCCTGATATTTGCTCTGATTGGTCACTATTCCCTTAGACTGGTTACTATAGTAACTCCTGGGCTTAAAGGTCAACCTCACATGGGATGTGTGAGGTTCTCCACCCTCCTTCCTTATTGTTTTCCTATTCCCTTTGGGCTTTCTTCTTCTCCTTCTGAGTGAAGGGCTTCCTTCTCTTTATTTTGTAAATATAGGCCTTTCTTGGCAACTTCCAGTTCCCTTGTCTTATGGAAATATACCTGTTGCTGCTCCCTTTTCTTATGGAAATGCCACTGCACTTGGCTTCCTTGGGTTATGGAAATGTACCTTCTTCCAGTCTGCAGCCCCATGCTTTTCCATGGACCCCAATTCTAAAAAATCCCTAAGCCTGCCTATGTTCCCCCAAAATTCCTGCTTCATCTCTCTCTCTCTCTCTCTCTCTCTCTCTCTTCCTTTCTCTAAAATCAATAAAAATAAAAAAATGCTCATATTTCTAACTCCTTTCATGCTTCCTATAATTATTTCAAGCTATTTTATATGTGAATTCTTATCTTTTCTTTGTTATATAACCTATTTCAAAGTAATCTCATACTGCTTATTGATATAACTTATTCTATTTACTAAATTAAATTATATTCTTTGGATTTCTCAATTATGCTAGGTGG